AACTATGCGTTGGATATGTGTGAATGGCCCTTGGCTAAGCAATTTTTTCCGTTAGAGCCATTGCTAAAATTCCAAACGTCGAGACGGCAACAACGTAGGTCACTTCTTTGTCTTGTACCAGAATCCAATCAATTGAATGGTGCGAGATTTACATCGCTGCCGTAAACATCTTCGAGCTTGAGTTTCGAACGTCTCCCGCCAATTTCTTGAACGCAATATTCCGTTCTTGGTTTCGATTCGGTTGGTAGCCATGCAAAGAGTCACTGAACGCGCACCAATTTGTCTTTGGATCAACATACAGTTCTAACAAATACTCGATGATATCGCTTCGTTGCAAACAAATCGAGTGTGATGTTAGTTTGGTCGTGCAATACACAAACGCACCATGTCTGAGCCATACTCGTTCGCGCAATTGAATTTGGCGCGCTATAGCGCATATGCAGCCTTTGCCACTGGTATCAGTGTTGACAGCTAACTTCACTATATTCATTTAATAATCGTTAGATTTTAACTATTTGCATTTTTAAATATTAATATTAGAGGTTAGAGAGGTATAGAATATCAAATCAGCTTGCTCATTAACGCAATTTGTACACATGCGTCTGTCAACAGAACCTACACCTGGCTCAGCCATGCTATGGTAACGAACACCTCCAGATTTAATTACTTCACACATCGTGCGGGTTGTAATGTCCTGATATTGTATGGTAGACTCCCACCTTATTGTAATAACGTCTAATGTATAATTCTAAGTATAGCAACAACTGAGGAGTTATACTTAAATTGTTCTGTGGAAACTTATTACTCTTATGTACAACTTTAAAAATTATGTACAACTTTAAAAATTAATGCTCAGTTTATAAATCATAAAATTTGCATACTTGGCTTGTGCTATTATACATGTATCAGTGAATACAAATAGAAAATAATTCACTGGCATAAATATTCCATGACGCGCCACCGCTGCTTTCAAATAAAACATTGAAAATATACACTATAGTATTCAATATTAAGATATTACATAACCATCACGCATTGTGTAATAAATTGAACTAGGCCTATATTCGAATAATTGAACTAAACTCGTTTTTAAATAAAAAATAAACTTTTAAAACTTTATATATTATATTTCACTTCTCAACTCTCTGTGACGAGTCGCTAAACTCAGAAGAACAACCAAAGTGATTAGCTAAAATTCCATGTGCTCGAAGAATCGCGTGATACACGCGTGATGTCCACGTAACAATAATATCATTACCTCATTAATTCGTATGCATAGCGTGGGAATACCGCGGCCAACTTTCACTTGTTTGATACTGCTAAGCATTTTATGGATGGTTCTTACTGTAACTGGTAGACAACAATTTTGCCAACTGTCCACTCATTACACTCTTCGATTGTGGTACAAACTATTACTAATGATGGATCAGTTATATGCACCTAATTATATTTTCGGTACTTTGATATATTTTAAAAATATCTGAAGTGACTGTCGTTCTGCTATGTACAATCAACAAATAGACTGATAATATTGTCTGTTAGTGTTACTAAATACAAGATGAAGTAGAGAAGTAGCTATGTATATCATTCACTCGTCCACAAAATATCCCAAATAATGAAAAAATACAGTTAAGGTATGAAATTTCTAGCCGTCGATCTCTCGAGATCGACGCGACTGGGGCGTGGTGAGAAAGAGTATAATTACGTCAGTAAATTCTCTAAATTGTTCCTGTATTTAACTATTATCAATAAAATGTTAAAACGGAGCTTTGATTGACTGATTCACCATTTATACTAGTGAATTATTAAACTATCGTGATTTACACGATTTTTGCATATTTACGACTTACGAGACGATGCCCTATACACCGACCCGAGGTTAACGCCGAGCGGGCGTCTTGTTAATTATAACACATTGCTTGGAATCCGACTGATGTTCCGTTTAAGATATCGTTACCACTTTATCAATATGAGCGTGACAGAACAGCAGAGAGCATATCATTTGAAAAAATTCCGAACACGGTTCCATAGAATGGATCAGCACCAAGATGGCTACATTTCACGCGAGGATTTTAAGCTCATGGCCAAAAGATTCTTCGAAAATACACGTGGAATTACCAAGGAGAGAACTGAATAAATATTTGCCGAATTCTTAAATATAGCTGATCAGTGCCATTGATCTAAAATGTGGCGTGAAAATTCCGTTAGATGAAGCAGCTAAGATCGCAATTAGTGACAGCTATTTGTCCCACACTATCAAGAATCCTCAAGAAGTGCATCAGTTCTTGTTTGATTGCATTGACACAAACAGCGATGGCCACATATATATGTATCGAGGAGTTCAAAGCCTACTTCAAAATTTTATGTCACGATATAACTGAAGAAGAAATGAAGCATTCTTTTAACACCATTGATTCAGATGACAACGGTGAAATTAGCCGCGAGGAGTTTGTAGCAGCATCAATTGATTTCTACTTTGGTGTAGAAGAAACAGAGGTATCGAATGTCAGTGTTTTATGCAAAATTACTCCCTTGCTGACTATTTACGAAAATGAACGAATAATTTTAAACTTTAGTATTATAACAACAACTATATTTGTGTAGCTGTCTTAATGTAGTTTACCCTTAGCTTCAGGCGAAATCGTTTTTCTTAAGTGCAACACTTAATATTGAATAATGCTTCATCAGAATAACATACAGGTAAACTACGTGGAGCGTTCCTCTTTTGACTTCCTGACTCATTTGGAATTCCCCTCATTAACTTTGCAAATTTGAAAAACTCTTTGCAAATCCCTTTAGGGAATTTTCAATCTTCCTATCGGCTGTTGCAATGTCAGTCCAATGCAAAAAAACTTCATTTTAAATTTTCCTAACTTCCTGTTTTAATATCCTGACTTCCTGTTCTGTTCTGAAAGTTGTCATTGGTGGATTATATTTGGTAGCTAATTACAACACATAGAACAGAACAGGATTAAGTTAGGAACTTGTAAAAGGAAGTTAAAAGATTCTAACAGGACGTGCTGAGGAAAATTTAATCGGCTTTTAGCAACATTGCAAATTTCCTCAAGGGATTTGCAAGAGAGTTTTTTTAATTGAGAAACTCGAAAGAGGAACGCTTCACATAATCTGCCTTCACATAATCTGCCTTCACATAACCTGCTTCACATAATCTGCCTTCACATAATCTGCCTTCACATTACACAGGACGAAAAGCGTGTCATTAATCAGCTTTAGCAAAGATACTAAAGATATTAAATGTGTGTTTACACCTTTAATAAGCTGACTAAAGGTGGTTAAATAAAAAGTTACATTTAATCGCATTTACTCTGAATAAAACAC